AAGAGGCAATTGTTTATGATGCACCGTGCTTTAGCGAAATAAAAATGATTCAGTTAGGGTTTTCTTTAACCCCTTTCGCTGCACGGGCATAAGTACTATGTTTGAGGCAACAGGGAGCAGTAAGTAGGGAACAGCCAGGAATCCGTTTACATTCCCTCAGCTGACTGTCAGCTTTTACGTAGAAGTGATTTGTGTGGCTGTAAGTTCACCGATCACTTCTACCCCCGCCCCCCGCCATGTATCCTGGGCTCCACTGCCCTTCCTGTGGGCCCCCGATGGCCATGGCCGTCTGTTCGTTAATCTCCCCTCCAGTCACAATGAACCCGGAAGACAAGGATTTCATCACTTAAGGTTACTAAGCTGTCATACATGAACTGTACTTGATCAGCCTCATTAAGATCCAAAGGCGACACTCGGGGTCTAATAGACCCCTGATGTCTTCTTAAAGAGGACCTGTCACCAGCAATATACTATCAGCTCCCTGTGTGATAGCAACAAAGTTAAGTATAAAAAAACAGTTTACAAAAATAAAGTTAAATAAAATATACACCCCCCATCCAGAATACACACACATACAAGCAAAAACAAATGAGTTAGGTGCGGCTAGAAAAGAAAACAACAATTGTCCAACACATAATGGGTATTGCTGAACATGCTGGAGTGAGAGCAGTAGTTCTAGGGCCATCATTCACGGTTAACTCTAAATTGATGACCTGTAAAGGCTTTTACAGCATTGCCTTGGGACAATTTGGAGGCTTGATAGGTTCGGTATCTATCTACTCAGTGCAATCTCATCTTTTATATTTTATTTAAAAATTGGTATTTTATTGTATTTGTGTGCACTAAAATTAACTTGAATGGATTTTTATTGAAATATAGTTATGAGATGGGGGCGGGGTGGGCTTTAGACAATTTTTAGGCTTGAAATATGTATTTTAACGCAAGCTCCAAAAAAACAAAATGCAAAAACGGCTTTGGCAGAGAAAGGGTTAAGCCACCCAAATGAGCAGAAGAATCCAAGAAGCTTGATATCAGTGACATATTGGACTAATGTGCAGCCAGTGGACATTTGCAATTATCAACTGATCTTTCTGAACTGTCAGGTTTAGGTCCCACCCCAAAACATGTAAGGGGTCCTAGCTTGGGTCCTTGTTCTCCCACCATAGCATGATCACATACGTCTAGCTCCCTAATCAGAGGGTGCTCTGCCCAATTCTCAGTAAAAGGTCTCCGTTGTGGTGAATAAAGGTAATTTTGCAGGAGAAGAAGCATGTGCACTTTATGCAAGTAAAGACAGGTTACTCAGTAGTAGAGAAAGCTTTATGGGGTGTTGTTGAAAATGTAAAATATGATTTTATTGTATGTACTGCGCCTTCCTAAAGTGGACCTTTCAAAAATGTATCAAGTCTGTATGAATTAAAGACGTACCATTATACAGCAAAAAGCTCTATGTGTTCTGTTTCCCATGCTGATATGTATGTATGTATGTATGTATGTATGTATGTACGATATAATAACATAACTTCCAGATATAGTCTGTGCAGACAGTATGGCCACTTGGTGACCTGGCAAAATTCACAGGCAGCTTAACTCTTCAATAAGAGACAGAAGTTAAATCCATTGTAAGTTTACCTCAGACACGTGCAGTACAGAGGATGTCTTTCCAGTCTTGACTAACAAGAAAGTATAAGAAGTCAATGATTTTCCTAAGCCCTGTCTCTGCTTGGAAAGAGAAAGTAGACTAAATAGTAGAGCGAGAGGCAGGGAGTGTCTGCTAGGGACAGTATTAACTTGTACCACAACAGGAGGGGCAACAAAAGAACATACCAAGAGCACAAAATAACCAGGATGTGGTGGCAGCACTCTGTCTTTTATCATTAAAAAAACAATAATATGTTCTACTCCAGTTACTTTTCCTGGGATGCGATGATGTCACCTCAAACGTCACTGTCAATGGAACAAGTGTCTCCATTGGATGAATTCCCTCCATCTCCTGTTCCAGTAACATCTCTAAGATGTTCCCTGTTTCTTTCTGTCCCAATACCAACATTCACCAGCACAATAAAGAGGGTTTTTTCCCTAAAAGGGACTCAGACTGCAACAAAAACTAGTAGTTGTAGATGTAGACAAGTAGATGTAGAAATAACCACACCAAATAAAATAGTCCAGATACAACTTTATGAGGGTCGGGGGGACTTTCAAGTAGAGTAGCCAACGCATTTCAGGGGTCTAAAACATACACACACACTTTCATCAGGGCTTAATGAAAGAAAGCATGCATGTACTTAAAACACATGCATGTATTTTAATTGGCGTGGAGCAGCAATTTCTACATCTACTGAGTTCACTGTTGAGCCAAGAATACTGTGGAGATCCTTAGAATTATGGGAGCTGCCTACCTGTTAGCCAGATCACACATATTCACATCACTTACTGTAACTACTGCTGGATAAGAAACATCAATAGAATAACCACACAGGTCCAGCACTTTATATGCAATAAAAACTTGCATATAAAGTACCAAAAACCTTTCTCTACATTTTACTTTTATTTTCACCCGCTGATCCCGCAAGTAACACACTTCCTGTCCTAGGGCGACAATGCTCACTTACTCACTACTCTTTAGATGTTTAGATGAGCAGTACTGTCAAACCAGAGACGTGCGGTAAGGGCAGGCAGTTGAGTCAGAGCCTCACCTAGTACTATGGAGGAGAAAGCTGTCAGCTTCAAGTTTTTCTCCATTCAGATCGGCTTCTATCAGGTTACACAGCAGGGAAAGCCTCCCCGCTGTGTAACCTGTTATGGACAGAGCGCTGTCTGTTAATTACAGCCAGCGCTGCATCCAGCTTTTGACAGCTAGTTAGGTCACACAGCAGCAGGCTTCCCCACTGCTTCTGTAACCTTACTTGGTGAGGCAAAAGCTGTCACAGCCTCTACTCTTTGTTAGAGGTTATGAGCTCTGTGGATGGCTTGGACCAATGGCAAAGCGCCATTGGTCCAAGCTGTCCAATCAAAAAAAGGAAAAAAAAAACCCACTGAGCCCATCGATCTCCATGGCCTGGCGAGGCTGGGGAATGCCTCACCCAGAACCAGAGGCACCACACGTCACTGTGTCACACCAAGACAGAACATGGGTTACAACTCCACAACTCCACTTTCATTCCTCATTTTAGAAACAGGGCAGTTCTGCACTTTGAAAGCCTTGACTAGGCAAAGTGGTAACAATGCTTGAGGATTTTAGTGCAGCACCGGCAGAGTGCATGAGAAGTTATGAGCTCACTTGATTTTTGCAGGATCCACAGGTACTTTCAGGGATGCTCCGATACCTTCCCTAATACAGGAATGTCCGGTCAGAGGGAGATTTCCCAGCCAATCAGCATTGAGCCGGGCAAACAGCATGAAGCTGCTTCCTAGCCAATCAGGAAGCTGGTGGCGGGTAATGACCCACCTCATGGCTTCTGGATTGGCCGGGAAGCCGGCTCCATGCTGATTGGCTGGGAAGCTAGCTTCATGGCCAATCAGCATCGATCCAGCAAAACAGCATGGAGCCGCTTCTCGGTCAATCAGGGAGGCGAGCGGCGGGTATTGACACACCGCCTAGCTTCCTGATTGTCCAGGAAGCCGGCCCCATGCTAGTGGAAGTGCCTGTATCGGTACTCGGTATCAGTGAGTATCAGCGAGTACCGAAATATAAATATCGGTACTCGTGCTTGATACCAAAAAAACGGTATCGCTGCATCCCTAATAATTTTTGAGCTTACATGTTGCTAAAATTGAGTTTTCAGTGCTTGTTTTCACCTAGGAGCAAGAAAGTTATGCTCACCTGACCCTCTGAACTGGCCAGTTGTCACAGCGCTCCCTCCAGCCTGTGTCCTCCTCTGCTGCAGTGATAGCATGTCCCTCAGCGTTCTCATGTCCTATACACTGTGTATAGAATAGTGATGACTCTGTAGTGTAGGGGGAGAGAGGCTCGGGGGACTTGTCTAAGAGCAAGCCTGCTTGGAGGATAGAGAGAGTATAACTTTTTTTTGTTTTTGACCCTAGGCAAAAATGAGCACTTAACCCTTGCAGTGTGGGGCTATCCCTGCTGCATGGGTTAATACAATTTTGACCCGGAGTTCTTCTTTAGTTGTTAGGGTTTACATACCTTTTAAGTTAAGGCATATCAGCGACACACCTCCACCATACTTTCTTGTATCATCCAAAATTGCACTACCTTTTTTTTGTCATAACCCCCAAGTAGTTTCATTCAGCTCATCCCAACTATTTTTATTTACATGATGTAACTAAAAAAAAAACACAGGTCACAGCTCATTCTAATTGTTGACATTCTCAGTCCTGATCACACAAGACCATAACCAAGGCAAACAAAATTCCCAACCGAAACTGATCAAAGATGACTACAAATTATAGGTGCTTCCACTACAAGCTGCACCTGCTGAGTATTTCCCACTTCAAAGTGTGACATAATTACTGGGCCTAAATTACAACAGGTGACCGACACTTCCAAGTGACAACACTTCTTTGAACATTAGGCACGTAAGCTGTAAAGTTTGACATGCCGATGTTAGTTTGTTGTTTCTGGTTGAAACTCAAATGCCCTCCTAGAAGTTGTGTTATTCATAAAGATGGTCCATTCTAGCAGTGTCATTCCAGAAGATTAGGGTGCTTAGGGTGAAATAATAAGACTGGAAGTTGTAAATGCCCTTTATGATATGATATGGTACGCACGAAGTCTTGGTATAATAGGGAGGACTGACCCTTTAAATATTTATATTACTAGCCTGTGTTTACAAAGTAGATTGTAAAAACAAACTAAAAAGAAAACACATTATACACAAAAAAACATAATATAGCCACTAATATATTACATATTTATAAAAATTATACTTTATTGCTTTTACAAATTTTGTATATGTACAAAAACAATATTGGACATTTTATGGAAGGAATAGACAAACTCATTGTTGATATTAATCCACATGATATACATACGTACATACATATATACACATTTTCCTTCCTTACAGTTTCATGTAAGTTTCCTGGCCCACAATAACGTTGGCACTGGCAGCATCACATTTCTCAGTGGGTAGGATAAAATATCTACTGCAAATTCCATAATAAGCCATAACTGCCAAGTGCAGCTCATTATCTTTAAAAAAGTAGCATTGATAAGGTCAGTAGTTTAACATTCCCGAGGATTGGACTGTATCTCTGATCTGCTACTATGTTTACTCATATACGGCTCTTCAACCATTTCATATCGTCCAACAGTAGCCTGAGTACAATTGTCTTGTAGAACTGGTACTAGTCTGGCAGTACACTCTGTTCTTTAGTGATATTGCTTAATGATAATGTGTCAGAAAAGTTAATATAGCCTGAAAAAATTTACAGTGCTGTTTATTAGGTTGGTGATTCCTCTAAAGAGCTCACAACCAAATTCCTTGCCAGAGGTAATACTGTGCGGCGCGCTATACAGCTCTTTAGGGTCACTAGGACTTGGCCAAATTTGTCATGCTCAGCATGGTTTAAGAATAGGCAATTTTGCACTCTCTTTGACCTGAGTTCTTCCATGTCAGGAACTGGAACGGCACACACATATCCAACATCAAGTTGCCAGACTCCCAGCAATACTTTCTGAGGCATTGTTACTGGTTGGCTTCTTGTAGGCCTGGAGGAGAGCCCATGGCTATTTCTAATCCTCAGTGTTTCAGCTTTCTCCTCTGGATTTGGTAACCTCTTCCAATGATCTCCAATATTAAAGTCTTGTAAGAAATTGTTTAGAACATAACTTCCTCGCAGCTACCATAGTCACTTTCTGCCAGGTCTGGTGCCTGAAAGTTGGAATTGGTCATTGGTGGAAGCCCACAGTCTGCATAAGAGGGCTGAGCTACGCTCAGTCTCACGCTCAGATGGCGGAACCCATCGTCAGATGTGTAGGGCATACCCTCTGGCTGTATTAGCTGTGAGGGATAGTAGCTAATTGCAGTATACTGGTCTTGGCAGTGAGAAGGTGCTGGGAGAAAGTCATCCAGGTTTCGGTTGCTGTAACAAGACGGAATTGGAGCTCTTTTGTTGCTGCGCTGCAATGGAAATGGGAATCCACCAAATAAAGGTTCTTGCTCTGGTTCTCTTGGGAGAGGTGGGACTGGTGGTGCAGAAGATGATGTCTTGGAAAAGGGGAATCTTTGAAATTCCATAGGTTTGTTGTTGGATGGCCAGTATGATGAGTCTCCTGTGTACACTGAAACAAAGAAGAAAGGAATACTATTAGAGTAAAAAACAATATGATGATTTTTAACTCTGGCTACAATTTTTCCCAGCCCTCAAATGACAGGTGGTTACATGATTGGAAATATTGTATTGTCATTATTTATATTAGGTGTAAGCAACCTTGGCTCTCCAGCTTTGTGGAGCTACAAGTCCCATGAGGCATTTTAAGACTCTGACAGCCAGAGACATTACTTCCAGAGGCATGATGGGATTTTTAGTTTCACAAAAACTGGAGTGCCAAGGTTGCCTAACCCTGATTTATAAGATACATGCATATATTATCCTGAGCTTTACAGAGAATATTGAACTAATTAGTCCCTACTATATATAATACCTGATCATAAATCCTTATTTTACAAAATAAGATAGTTCCAAGCTATACTGTGTATTGCATGCTGGGTTTTCTAATCAGAAAGTCCAGCACTAGCTTTCTGTACTTACTGCCTGCCCATTCAGATTTAGCAAGCACCATCTGTACTTGGAGAGGAAGAAAGGGTCCCTCCTATGGGTCATTCATTTACTCAGCTGTGTGTGTATTTCAAACAATATTATCCACCCTACTCAGCTCACTTT